GGAGGGATGGAGCAGGGGCGCTCTCTTCTGCCAGGTTGGACTACAACTATGCAACGTGGAGGGCACATGCACGGTGGCTTCTCATGATCACCGTTTAAACACTAACAACGGAGAGAGCACTACTCTGGGGAAGAGGGCAAGAGGAGGTGGAGGACGAGCAGGAGGAGGGGGTACGACCGGATCAGTCGCAACAGACGCGGGGACGCGCTCCGTTGTTAATAGCGGAGCAGATGTCTTGGAGCTGAAGGCTCCCGTAATAAGATCCATGGGAATGGAAAGGGGGCTGGTCAAGTGCGTTTTTTTCTGTCTTAATAGGAGGAGGGGACAAGGAGGAACACCCATTCCTCCTTCCACCCCCCACGCAAACAAAAGTGAAGCCCTGCCTTCTCAGCGAACAATTGCCAAACAAGCAAAGTAGGATTTCCTCGGGTTTCAATGTGGATTCACACGCGTGTCTGTTCATGATCGTTGAGCCACTCTTAGCCGTTTCAGGAAACAGTAACATGTGGGCCATTATCGCCTCATTAAGCATTTAGAATCAACATAACAAATGCTAATTCAAGCCACAGTTATTTTTGACTTGTTTTCTTTGCGGGTCCATGAGAAGACTGCTGGTTGGAGCACATCAACTTTTGCTTACCAGAGCAACTCGATGCTGTTATAGTTGCTTAAAACTAGAGGAAAGGTGTGAAAACACGTTTTAGATTGAACTGTAATAAAAACAAAATATAGACTTTAGCTCAAAAAAGTTGCAAAGGTATGACAGTTGCCCGTCCACGACGCAAAGCTCTTGTTCCAGCCCATCCCAAAGGTGCTTTATTGGTTTGAGATCTGGTGCCATTTCTCACTGTCATATTCCAGAAACCAGTTTGATCTTATCTTTGTGACGTGGCATGCTATCCTGTTGGAAGAAGCCATCAGAAGATTTGTACACTGTGGTTATAAAGGGATGGGCAGGATTAGCACCAATGCTCAGGTAGGTTACTAAAGGGCCCAGACTGTGCCAAGAGAATATTACAGCATTACACTATTACACAACCACCAGGCTGAACCGATCCTGTCTACTGATACAAAGTAGAATGGACACCATACCAGCTTTATTTGTAAAGTACATTAAAACAACAATAATGGACCAAAGTGTTGCACAGAAGAATAAATAAAAGACAAAATAAATATGGAATAAACATAAAATACAAATGAAATAAATAAAAGACATAAAACAAGAGAAGAACATTAGCCATACAATAAAAAAATACAATAAAGATCTAAATAAATACAATAGTAAACATTGCACAATGGACATGGAGAAAAATGGGTTTTAGTAAGATTTAGAAAAAGATTGAGAAGGTCCATGATTTCATGTTGTGTACAGCAAATTCTCCTTTGACCAGAAAACATTTCACTTCATTGTTCTTAGCTGACACGGATGGTAAGGTGTGGTCGAATGCTGCTGTAGCCCATCTGCTTCAAGGTTGTGCAATTAGAGATGCTTTCTGCATACCTTTGTTGAGTTACTGTTTCCTTCCTAGCTGGAAGCAGCCTGGCCATTCTCCTTTGACCTCTGACATCAGCGAGGCATTTTAACCCAGATATCTGCAGCTCACTACATATTTTCTCTTTTGGGACGATTCTCTGTAACCCCCAGAGATGGTTATATGGAAAAATCCAAGTAGAACATCACTTTCTGATGTACTCGGATCAGCCTGTCTTGCACCAACAACTATGAACCATCACATCACCTTTCCTCTCCATTCTCATGCTCAGTCTGAACTTCAGCTGATCATCATGTCTAAATGCCAAAATGCATTGATTTGCTGATGATGAGTGGATCAG